GTAGCTTTGGAGACCTAGCACTGCAATGTAGATCCCTGATGTGCCCTGGGGGATGTACTGACTGATGGTGAAAAATTCAAGCTGTGACCCCTTGCAGCCAGGTGGTCTTGGGGAGCTCTGGCTATCATTACCACTCCACTGTATGACAATATTACAAGAGAAACTATTGGGGAAAGGTCTAGAAAACCCATGTGAATAAAAGGTAGGTTTAGAAATGGGAGTGGGAATGTTGAAATGAATTGAGGGTAGAATGGGAAAGAGGGGTGAAAAGTAGACAGGGAAGACTGGGTTTGCACAGGGAGAAGGTCCCAAGAAATGACGTGAGAAGCCTTGTCTCAGAAGGTCATGGGCACTTGGGAGCCCCAATTGCAAGAAGGTCTCCCAGGATGCAATGCTGCCCTAGAGCTGCTCCCTCCTCAGCCAGGGAACATAAATTTGTGCCTGAAAAGGTAGCCATTTTCCTCAATTCTGGCATCGATCAGCTATAATTGTGCCATCATTTCATGTGTGACCAAGACTTTTCTAGTTAGACTGAGACCCTCAGCCCTTTAATTAAGATGTCTCCCAACTTTAGAACTGTTGAAATGTGAGTGCTTGCCTATCATGCACAAAGTCCTCAGTTCAATCCCCAGCATGGCAAAAACAAAGCAAAATAAAATAAGCACAAGAAAAAACCTGTCCATATCACAATCAGTGCAATGGGGTGATGCACCCCAATCCTTCCCCAGTAGGGGGTCTATGCTGCAGGGAAAGTACTGGGCTGGCCCAAAGCAGGGGAATGGGGGTGGATACTACAGGAAGTGGGGATTAAGTGTGGACTTGTATAATTAAAAGCTGATAAAAGATGTCAACAATGCCATCTTTCCTTATAATTAAGAATATAGGGCTGAGGTTGTGGCTTAGCGGTAGAGCACTCACCTGGCATATGTGGGGCACTGGGTTTGATCCTCAGCACCACATAAAAATAAATTTTAAAAAGGTATTGTGCCCATCTACAACTAAAAAAATATTTTTTAAAAAGAATATAATTTAATTACTGTTATTAAAACCTAAACCACTGCCCCATATGGGCTGCTTTTAGCAGAATACCTTTGGTTCTGCGGTTGGTTTTCCATACAGACCCCGCAGCCATTAACAAAGAGCCACGGAGTGTCCAGACTTCATCTTATGAGCCCATCAGGTTTGAAGTAATACAACAAGCAGGAGAGGGAATTGAATCAAAGGCACAGTTTTTGTTTGTTTGTGGTTTTTTTGCTTGTTTGTTTGTTTTGTTTTAATACAGAAAATGTGTGAAGTAGCACCAGGAAAAAGGTCCCATTCAGCCTTGTAAGGACTAGGTACTGCATGGCACGCCCTGGGGCCATGTACTTGCTTAATCTGAGGCCAAGCCCAGGGCAGAACATAGAAGTCACTTGAGGGGTGAAGAAGGAGGGTGCAGATGCTTTGGGTGAGCCTAGATAGAGCTTTAGAGAAGCACACAGCCTCACTAGAACTCACACAGTAGAGGAAACAAAAAACATGAATGTTTTCCCCAGCCAGAGGGCACTCCCCTATGCACATGGCTCATGTTGACCTTCACTGTTTGCATGAGAGATTCCCTGAACAGGGCAGAGCTCAGCACCACAGTGTGAAGGGGAAACTGAGGCACAGATCCTCTAGAACACAGGCTGCTCCCTGTTGATCCCACTGACACCACTGGCATCATCCCTTTTTTCTAGAAGATCCACCAGCACATGGCCCTTCTCACTTGACCCTGGCCACTCTGGTCTGCTTAGTGCTTGGCAACTGTCGCCACATGGAATTCTCTGGTTTAAGGCCTGCTTTGATCTGGGGTACACCTGGAGTTCAGTGTCTCATCCTCACACAGTTGTCATCACATGGGTCCTACACACTCTGCGAATTTCCCCAGCTGGTGGGCACTCCCTTGGTGGGGGCTACATGCCCACAGTGGACAAAAGTTTCTCCCCCTCTACATCTGGAGATGCCCCCAAGCAGACTCCCCTCATTTTGCAGCTTAATCCTGCAGCAAGCCTGCCTCTTTTCCCCAATACTTCCCTGGGAGACTCTAACCAGCCCCTCCAGATAGTGCCGAGTTCCCATCCTTACTTAGACAAGGGTGCCAATGCAGAGCAAGAGGCTGTGAAGGTCCCTGGCAGGCTGCATGTAGCTCTGGGCTTGGTCTCGTCTTCCCCCACTTAGTCAAGAGTTGATCTATTTCCCAAATTGAGTGTCTACTATTTTCTGAAGGGTTTTGAGGCATGAATAAGAGACTGGACTCTCTATGGTGCCTTCTGGTTTAAGCATTCATCCTCCCAAGTCTTGGCAGCTGGACATCTGGAAACAGACTAAGGGAGAAGAATGCAGCCTGTGGACCAACGAAAATGCTTGGGGGAGTCCAATAACAGGGATGTGAGTGAGGAACCCACAAGTGAGAAAACCCCATCACACACACACACACACACACACACACACACACGACAGCACAACAGCTCACAGAAGGACAGGGCAAATGTTCATAGAGAAACCTAAGGTGAGAGAAAAAAGGAGTCACTCAGTCTGCTCTGGCTCCTATGATAAATTGCCACAAACCAGGTGACTTATAAATAATGGATATTTTTGTCTCATAGTCCTGGAGGCTGGAAGTCCAAGATCGGGGTGGCAGTATGGTTGGTTCTGCTGGATTGATATGAATGCTTTCTCTCTGTTTTCACATGGCAAAAGGGATATGAGAATTCTCTGGGGCCTCTTTTATGGGATACTCTTATGGGAACCTCATGAATGGGTTCATGAGGGCCTAAACCCTGACCAAATTACCTTCCAAAGGCTCCACCTTGAAACACTAGGGTGGGGACACAAACTTCAGCAATCACAGAAAAGAAACTGCTAGAAAGCTATTTCATAGAAGAATTAAAGGCTCTTCAGAGCAACTGCCCACAGGGATGTCAGCTCCACAAGTGTAGCAGCCAGGGCAGTGACCAGACAGCACCGAAAGCTGGTAGGTACTCACCAAGCACTTGTTTAAGGAAAGAATGAAGGAGGGATGATCAACATGGGGGAGATACACAAATGCATCATGGAGTTGAAACTGCCAGCCACAGGACATCCTGTTATATTCTTCAATTTACTAGAGGTTCTCAGACAAATTCATGCTTGGGGGGTAGGGGAGAAAAAAACATGTCTTTGGGGGCCATTACCCAACACATGGTACTCCCTCATCTGACACAGCCAGTGAGGTGACCCTCAGCACCTGAGCCATTGAGCATTTGGAATGGGGCCAGTGAGGACCTGAATATTTAATTTTACTCTAAGCCATTAAAATGTTAAGTGACCACATGTAGCTAGTGGTATCTCAGTTAAGACAGCAGGGTGATTCTTTGTCTTCACTGGCCATCACAGTGGGAACAGGCAGGTCTGTACAAGGCCAACAAGCTCCACCCCTATTTACAAACACTGAGTGCTATTATTTGTGCAAGAGACAGTTTTTTATTGCTTTAGTTTTGAATGAAACCAAAGCAGAGGCCTCTCTAATGACAGCTCTTTTCCTGGTGTCCCCCTGGAACACTGTGGGTGTTGAAAAGTGTGGAACAACTGCATTCCACTGCCGAGAGGGGAAGGCCCATAGTCCTCTGCAAGGCAAACCCCAATCTGCCACTCCTGGGAGGGGTATGGTGCAAACAGGTAATCACTGCTCCAAGTAGAAGCCCACTGTCACATGGAGGTAACCCAAAGAGAGAGCTATAACTGAAGGTAGGGTGAGAAGCAGGACTCAGAAAGGTATATCCGCAGCTACCCTTAGAAGAAGGTCGCTGAAGCTGTGTCCATGGAGCCTGCTGGCCACTTTGGGCAGACCTATAGAAGTCTTCATGTCCTGGTACTATAAATGTGCCCTTAGAAGCTGTGGGTGGGTCTGGCCACCCCCTCCCTTCCCAGATTTGCCTCATGGGAATTGTTCCTGCCTTCTAATTACTGAACTTCACTGCATAAGGGTGAACACAGCCTGAAACAGGTCCAGTTCAGGGTCAACATATGGAAATGCCTGGGTGTGCCTTTGGAGAGGTGATACCAGGGCTGCCACTGCCATTTGGGAGCAATAATAAACCCAGCAGCCTAAGAAGGAGCAATTGCCACAGATACACTAGGACAGAAAGGAGGGATAGAACCTGGCCACGTGCATTTCCTGTTCATCTTGTGTCCAAGTTAGCCTTGATGTTGACCTGGCTGTCAGCTTTTCCTGCTTGGTTTCAGGAAGGGAGGGATCAAAGGGTTCCTCTAGCCCATCCCTGGTGTTGAGTTAACAGGGAGAGATCTCTCAGGCACCTGGCCTGGGAAAAATGCTTCACAGGCGAGTTTTAAGATGACTCATGACCACTGTCATTGTGCCCCCTGTCCTGGTCATACCGTGGGGACATTCACAGTGAATAAAGTCAATAAACAGGGGAAAATGCAGGCCTGGGCTGGGGCTGGGCCAGGGAAGTGCTACAAGAGCAGCACTGCCTGTTTGTCTTTCCACAATCCCATCCGGGTCAAGGGCTTCTCCCTTTCCCAGGCCACATGTTCTGTGTCCTGTCATGATCATCCCAGCTTCCATGGAAAGGCATGCAGGACAAGTTCTGAAAATAGGTCAGGTCCAGCCTAAGTCCTAGAACAGTGACAACTTCAGGTGTGAAGATTTTAACTAAAAAGGACCTGGGGCTTGTACCAGCTCTGGGGATGTGGGATGAAGCTGACTCTCTGGCGGGTAATTGGGCCAGGAACAGGCGGAGGGAATGAGCCCAAACAGGATGGGGGAGTAACGGGACAGGAAAGGCAATGCAAGGACTTCATTCCCACTGCCCAGGGCCCTAGTGGACCTGACCTGGGGGCCTGTGGGGGCTGGGACTGAAGTCCTGAGTCACATCTAACTTGCTCTTCCTGAGATCTTCTGCAAGACCTATCTAACTCGACGCCAAAAAAAAAAAAAAAACAAAAAAAAAAAAAAAAACACCACACACACAGGCAGCTTCCAAAAGAAGCGAAACCATTTATCATCAGCGCCGGCGCGGTATCTACAGTATCTACACATATCTACATGTATCTACACCGCCTGCAGGCGGAGCTCTTGGGTCGTCTACATTGCCACTACCAGCGGGACGGAGTCGTTGCGGTCTCGCGGTCTTGGGGAAAACAATAAATACCACTTCCTTCCATCTCCGACCGGGCGCTTTGGCACTGTCGGGCGGGATCCCCCGTGGCCCTTGGGGCTGGGAAAGGAACCCTGTTTACTCCGGGGTTGAAGTGACCGGATAGTCCTCGGGGCTGGAGGGTGGAGGACCCTAATGACTTCAAGGTTGGGGAAGGACAGGACCCGAGGTGGGCCCCGGGCCTGGGAGAAAGTGTCCTTTGATGGCCCTCAGGGCTGCGCGGGGCTTCCGTGGGTCAGGGCCCAGAGCGCAGTTGCGGCTTGCATTATCTGGGGCAGTAGTCGTAGGAGCCGGGCGGCGCAGCCCCAGCAGACGAGTACATGTTGGCGGCCGCAGCAGCGGCTGCCGCGGCAGCAGCGGCAGCAGCAGCTGGACTCACAGCAGGATGATGGTGGTGAGGGTGTGCGTGCGCGTGCGGGTGGTAGCCGTGGCCGCGCAGACCCGGTAGCGGGTAGGGCGCTGGCCGGCTCTTGGCCCCGAGGTAGTGGTCGTAGGCTGCGGCCGGATACTTGTAAGGGTGGTGGTGTAGGGGCTCCGATGCGCCGGGCGCTTCCAGGCGCAGCTCGGGGTGCGGGGGACTGGGTCGGCCTCCGGACGCGCCGGGCAGCTGGACGAGGCCGCCGGCGCCACCGGCTCCGGGCAGCGCGGGGCTCAGCACCCGGGCCAGCAGCTGCGGTGGATGCGCCGGGTCCCCGAGCATGGCTGACCCGCCCGCGTCGCGTTCGAATTCTCGCCGGACCTCAGCAGGGTCTGCGGGAGCGAACCGAGGGGGTGAGCGCAGCGAACTGGGACAACCGAGATGACTCCCCAAAGGCCCAGCCGGCGAGGAGGCGAGAGGCCGCGCTCGGGGCACTCCCGCCCCTACTCTGCGAACCTGCCGGAGACCCTGTGCCGCCTTCGTGCCGAGCCCTCCCCAGGGGCCCGAGCCCCTTCTCGGGCGGCAGCAAAGGGCAGGGAACGCAGGCGGGGCTGCCTTCGGGCGGGCGGGCGTGTGCGCGCTTGCCCGCCGCCACCGCCGTTGTGCAACCGGCGCGAGGGCTGCAAGCGCCGCGGGGGTACAGGCGAGGCGGGGCGCGGCCGTCGACCTGGGATGGAACGCGCGCGAGTCCGCGGCCTGGATCCCAAGACCCCGGCCCTACCTTTCTCCGCACCGTTGGGCTGCGTTGGAGAGGCCACCGGGTTCCGCGAGCGCGCAAAGGCGCTCATGAGCGGCAGCGCACCGGGCCGGTGATTCCGGGGCCTGTGAAAGGGGGCGGATCAAGTTGGAGCCCCAGCCAGGCGCCCGGGCACTCGCTTTCTGCTCGGAGGACACTCACCAGTCCTCAGGGTCGCAGTCCCGGAAGCCTTTGGCAAAAGGGTTGCTAGCAATCTTCAGCTGCGTGATCTGCAGGGAAGCCGGCAAGAGCAAGCTGCTGAAGTCCGGCAGCCCGCGGCCACCCAACCCCAGCGACAGCGAACAAGGGAGTGTTAGGAACCTCTCTGCGCTGCCGAGGCAAGAACCGGCCCTCCTCTATCCCATTCCCCATGGACATTTTGCCTCCTCTTGCATTAGGGGGACTGGAGAGCCTCCTCTCTCACTAGGAGACGATTCACTGCCCAGGGAGGGAACCCACTGCTTCTTAGGGTGCCCTCCTTGGTCCCAATAAATAAATGGATATGAAGACTTTGCGTCCTGGCTAGAATGGGAACGTGGTCACCTCTGGCCTCCAAGGCGCAGCAGGGGTATCTGAGCTGGCGCCCTAGGAATCTGAGTAAACCTAGGATCAGGCCCCTGATGGGGAGTTTCCGGAATGGTTTGGAAAACAAACTTTCTGGGGGCAGTGACAGTTGCTGCTACAGAGGTCAAGCTGATAGAAGGCTCGGCCAGCCTGGCAGAGGGAGGGAGCAATTTGAGGCCCTTGAAGGAGGGGTTGTGCTCTGTCAGGACCCACAACCTGCAGGTCTAAGCTGTCTATGACCCCAGGCATCGAATGTACCTTGCACTCCATTCCCAGAAATGTTGTATGTGCCCCTCCCCAGAACCTCCCTGCAGGTCCTCACCCTGTGGTTCTGGTAGGCAGTGACCGCAGTGAAGCGTGTCTCCTCGAATACAAAGGTTTTGAAGTTCTCCTCTGCATATTTCTCACTATCTTTGCGTGGGTCCACATAGACAACATGGAAGCGAGGCTGGTATCTGTGCATGGAGTTGAGAATAATCTAGAAGGCAAGGTGGAGGATTAGCTCCAGCGAAGGAGCTGGGACGGAGAATCACGGTGAAAGCTGGAAAACGGAATTTCCTTTGATAATTTGAGCAAAACCCTTAACTTCTGAAATGAGCCGTAAGACCCATTTGGGATCTCCTAAAAAGATAGCCCAAGTGACAAGTGATCAGGATTTATATTCTTTCCTTAGGTCCCCAGAAATTGCTGTGGGGCCTGTAGAGGGTGGTCGCTGTAGAGCAGAACTCAGCGTGAAAGCAGCCTCACTGGCCTGAATTCCACAGTCTCCTGCCCGCCCCACCTCCCCAAACCTGTCATCTGTCCTTTGCAAGTAAAGATCAGGGGATGAGGGAAGGGTAATCCCCTTTCCCAAGTCAGCAGCCTACCCCCTGACCAGAGGTCCATTCTCTGAAGCCTATCCTCTCTGATCAGTGAGGACTGCCAAGGGCCTGCAACAGGGACAGCTCGGATGCCTGGGGAGAAGGGATCGCTCACATGGCCATTGTCGTCCAGCAGGTTGTTGGTCAGCTTGAGCTTGTCGAAGGACACAATTTGCTTCATCCACTGTGCACCTTTGGCAGGTGAGTCAGGGTGGTAGTGCACTCGGCCCGGTGTGGCAGGGTCTGCCTTGCCAGCTACTAGCCAGGAGGAACTATGGAAGGCATACCTAGGGCAGCACCGGGGCAGGAGTCATGCCATACTGGGGTGAACCAACAGGATCTTACCCCATGTGCCAGTTGAACCCGGAAAGTGCCTCTGAGGAGTTTCTTCATCAGTGAAATCAAGCCGTCCAATGTCACATGGACTGGTAGTTTTCACAAGGGGATTGTGGAAAAACCAGAAAAATCCCACCAGCATACAAAATGAACGGGGAACCAGGGCCCCACCAGGATACCAGGAGAAGGTAGTGCTCCCCTTCTCTTCTCATTTCGCTGCACACGGGTCCGCCCTGTGCTAATGTGGTTGGAGGCTAGATTTGGCTTCACTGGCAGCCTCGGGCACAGGGCGGTCCAAATTCGCTTTATTAATTGCTGTTAATTGTCCGGGTAGCAGAGGCCCGCCCAGCATAATCTCTCCCAGCCACCCCACCTTTCCGGCCCAGCTCTGGGACCCAGCGTTCCCTGGAGATGGGGGAAGGGGACAAGGCGCTCTGGCACCTCCTGGGAGAGGGAGACCTGAGGAAACTGAGGGCTGCGCTTGACCCACCCTTCCCAGGCCGTGGAGGCCCAAGGGCATCAGAGCTGCCTCAGGCCTGAAGTTCGAGGGGTTCCCAGCTGTGTGACTTCCTGAGGCAGGTTCTGGAGAACAAGTGGGGAAGGGAGTTGGGTCCGATGGGGGCAGGGAAGAGAGCAGGCTGAGAATGTCAGTGGGGCAGCGAGCGCAGATGCCTGGGTGAATTCGGTGGTACTTGGAGTTAGCAGACATGAACCCACTGCTTCTTAGGGTGCCCTCCCTAGTCCCAAGCATATACAGCCAGCCCAAGTAGTCCCAAGGACTTGCTCACCGGTAGCGCTTGTCATCTACCGGCACAAAGTCCATGAGCAGCATGTAGTCAGCCATGGGGTCCATGCCGAAGAGCTTCACTTGGAACGTGGGGAACATTCGCCTAGAGATGGTGGAGCCTCAGGTCACCTCATTTGGAGGAGGACCAAACTACCCTACCTTGACTTGCGGGGGCACAGGCAGCACTCACTCAGCCCTTCCTTCTAGTTTCTTTCTGGTTGCGATGTTTGATCCAGCTCTCACTCAGCTGCTCTAACCCAAGTAGGCTCCTACCCTACCACGGGTAAGTGTAGCAGGTCCCTTTCTGTAACAGAAATGGCTAACCCAGCGCCGAATCTTGGAGTCCTAACCTTCTTCTGCCACCTTTGCCTGAGTAGACCCAACCTTGCCTTGTCGATTCCTTGGCACTCTGGCCCTAGCCTTGGCCAGGGTGCCAAAGGATCCCTAAGATGCAATCTCCAAGCTTCTCTGCCCTTGACAGAGCCTCCCCAGCTTGATCTAAGTGGCTCCCGGCTCCAACAAAGTGAAACCGGGCGGTCCACATAATTCTGAGGAGTCTTCGTTGCCTTTTGAACTGGGTCTATGGCTGTTCCCCAATCCCTCTGGAGAGGCTGAAGAGCTGGGTCTGTGGCTGTACCCCAATCCCTGACTCTTAGATCCTGGCCCAGTGCTGGAATCTCCCCACCGTCCTCTGGATTCAGGCAAGTTCCTGCTTCCTCAAGACCCACAAGCCCAGAAGCAGCTGCCCAGAACAGACTTTGCTTATGCCTTCATGGTTTCCCAATAGCTTCTCTTCTGGACCCTGACTCAGTGACAGATCAGGGCTCTTAAAAGGACCTTTTGCAACTCCTGGTTGGGCCGCTGGCCATGGGCCAGCCCTGGCCTGATGGCGCAGAAGTACCAGTACTGACCCTGAAGGACAGCACAAGGCTTGGTCCCTTCTTGTCCTTCTCACTGCCTCCCCTCATAGGCAACTCCCTGCAGTCAGTGGGCAGAAAACAGATGCCAAGGGCCAGCACTCCAGGACAGGCCGCCTGCCACCCCCACACAAATCCTCTGCAAGTCCAGAGTTCTGCAGAATATTGTCTTCTAGGGTAAAGCCGACGACAAGGCCCTTGCTGGGTTGAGTTGGCCTGCACCAGAGGCCCAACCACTGTCCCCAGGAGGGCCTGTGTACACAGGGACAGCAAAGATCCTGAAGAAAATCCATGGAGCAGGAGATGAGGACAGACCCTAGGCTCCCCAGGGAAGACGGCTGTGGCAGGGAAACAGGAACCGCGAGAAGGCTTTGCAAACAGGCCCAGCGCTCCCCTTGGCTGTGCGGACACAGAGCTGGTGTGTACATTAGACACAGCCCAGCACCAGCCTTTGTCTACTGGTCAAATCGGGTGCATCTGCAAAACTTGTTCCCCTTCTCTCTCGGCCCTTAAAACAAATAGAGGCCAATTGAAAGGCGACGGCCCGGCTTGCGCAGAGCCAGGCCCGCAACTACCCGAAATTTAGGCCTGAGAAAACTGGGTAGCGAGTTCCACTGAACCAAGCACACTGTTTTAAAGGGTTTTAATTCTCTCCTAAAATCTTCCATACAATTGCTCAGCTTCTGTTCTTTATCTTGCCCGCATTGACTGAACTCCGGAACCCAAACAGGAGTTTCCTTTGAGGTGGGATCCACCAGGATCTGGGCGGCCTGGCCCTTAGTCTCGGCTGCCGGCCCCCAACTCAGTGCGCTCTAGCCCGCTGCTTCCCTGCGCGGCATCCTGGGGCTGCGGGTCGAACGGGCCTGTTCCGGGACTTCTCTCGCTACCCATGCTGTCCTCTCTCGCTCAGCACTACCCACGGCTATCGCCGGAGCCGGGACCACAGAGAGTAAAGGCGGCGACAAGGCCGAGAAGAGCTCGCAGGTGGCCGAGCCGCGCCCCCCACCCGGCTTTTAAGCCCCACTCTCGTGCGTCCGAACGAGGGGTGCGGTCCGTAAGTGGCAGCATATGGGGAGGGTAGCGGCGCGGGGAAGGGGCACCCTGACCTGCCGGCCTTGGTGACGATCATCTCGGTGCCCAGCTGATTGAACTCGTCCCACAGCGCCTTCATCTCCAGCTGCACGCTCACGCTGGCTACCTTCGCGTTCTTCTTCACCGGCGCCTTGGCGGCGGCCACGCAGCTGGCCCCGGGGCCCTCGGGCTCCGCAGTGGCGCTGGTGGCGGCCCCTGCGGCCGGCGCGAACGGGTAGGCGTGCGGCGGCGGCTGCGGCGGGCCGGGGGCTCCCGTGGCGGGGGCGGGGGCGGCGGCGCAAGGGTCGTAGCGCGGCGGCGGTGGATCGCGCGGCCCGTACGGGTCGGCGCCCGGCGACGCGGCGCCCGGGAAGCCCCCCGCGGCCCCCAGGCTGCTCAGGCTGCTGGCCGTGAAGGCTGCAACGTCGCAGAAGTGCGAGAGCTGAGTGAGCCACGGGCTGGACACGGCGGAGATCATGACCCGAGGGCCGCCGCCGCCGCCCCCGCCGCCGAGGTGAGCGCTGCCCCGCGCCGAGGGCCGAGTGGCGGGCGCAGCGCTTCGTGCGCCCGGGGCCGCGCCGCCCCACACCGCAGGCCGGCCCTGAGGAGGCGCCCCGCCCCGCCCCGCCCCGCGCCCCCCCTCCCGCGCCCAGACAATGGCTTCGTTCCCCTCCCCCGTCCCTTGCCCCTCCCCCTCTTTCCCCCCTCCCCGGCCCCCAACCCGCCCGCCCCGGCTCGCTCGGCCCGGGGCCCCCGACCGCCCGGACCGGCTCCCCGGAGCGCCGGGCTCGTCCGTGGCCCCTGCTCTGCCGCCCTCCCGCGTTGTATTTCTCCTTTTTCTGTTCCAGATTTTCTTTACCCAATTTATTTCTTTACCTTTGTCTCCCTTCGTTTAAGTTTTTCTTTCTAATCATCTTTCCATCTTCCAATCTCTCTTTATTTTTCTCGTTATTTTTAACTTTCTGCCTCTTTCTCTTTTTCCTGTCCCTTCCTTTGTATTTTATTTTTCATCACCCTTTGTCTTTCTGTTTTTGTCTACCATTTTTCTCTTGTTTCTGTATATTGTTATTCATGATTTCCCTTTCTTTTCTTTTTTTTTTTATGCTGGAGTCTTTTCCCTTTTTTATTTACTTTCTGTCATCAAATTTTCCTTCATTTTCTCTTCTCTTTCGTTCTTGATATCTTTTTATTTTAATCGTGTCTTTTTATCTTTCTTAAATTAAAGCCTTATAGGTTTTCTGTGATTTTTCCTTCCTCTTTTTTTCCTGTTACTTTTCCTCCTGACAGCCTCACCATTTTGTTTTTGTTTGTTTTTGTTATCCTTCCCTCTCCTTTTTCTGTATTCCCTGACTCCCTTGCAGTCTCTTCTCTCACCATCTTTTCTCCCACTTCTCCAAGCTCACGACCACCTCTTGATTCTCCTTACCGGGCTCCACTTGCCCTCTTCTGGGCCTATATCTAGCTGCGTGCCATTCTCTGAGTCTGGAGCCCCCAGACTGGTGGGCGGACAAGCTTTATAAGAGATGCCCATCCTTCCTCTCTGCTCCAGAGTCCCAACTTCAAGCCTGGAACCCACCCCACCGGGAGCTCCCTCTATCTACTCCGCGGCGGGCACTCACGGCAGCGGAGACAGTGGGTTGGCGGGCAAGCCAGTGTAGACGCGGCCAAGAGGCTCACCTTCCATGTCCCTGGTGACCGTGCTGAAGTGCATCCCGGCCAGGGATCCTGGTAGCAGGAGAAACTTCGCCCGGTTGGAGGCCCCGGGGCCCCGGTGGGCGGTGCCCTCTGAAGCCTCCGCTGCAACCAGAGAGGCGATGCTGAACGCGCTGGCCCGAGGAGAAAGCGGGCTCCAAGCGTCCATAGGCGCCCGCCGGCCTGCCGGGCGCCGCCTCCGACTGCGTGCGCCCAGCCGCACCGCGCCCAGCCCAGCCCACCGGGCCCAGGGGCGGGGGCCTGCGGTGCCACTCACAGCTGCGGTCCCCTAGCCCAGGGGATTATGGCGTCACGGGCCCCCACTTGGGGCCAGTATCAGCCCAGGGGCCCGAATGGGTGGAATACTCTGGAAGTTCGGGGACCTCCTGCTTTCCAAGCTATCCGCCCCTCGCCTCTGCTCCAAGGGCCCTCTGTGACCAACGCCCCTTGAACATCCCACAGCTCCTGCCAAGGCCGGGCCTCCCTCTGATAAGAAAAGCCACCTTCAGCTTCCTCAGCCCCAGAGGAAAGGCCGTTATGTCAGGAGCACCAAGTACCGGACAGATGGCAGGGCACCAAGGGGCTGCCTGGGCTCCGTCCTGCTCCTGCCCTTGGCTCCTCCCGCCTCTACCTCCTCCCCGGCTACCCCTGCACCTGGGTGAGGAGACAGCAGCTCCGGCTCCCGCGCCGGACACGGGCAGATAGCCTCAGGGCTGCGAAGTTCTCCGTTCCTCGGTGCGGCGGGACAGGACCCAGCTCAGCAAGTGTCCTACAGACCCCTTAGGACTGGCTGTCCTAGCTGGGGACCCAAGCAGGGGGACGCCGCCCAGGCCGCGCAGCCCGGGAGCCCGAGCGTCACGCGCACCCGCGCGCACCGCCCGCCTCTGGCCTGGACGCTTTTACATCCGGAGGGTGGGCAGTGCCCGCTCCTCCGACCTCCCCGCGCACCGGCCGGGCGCAGGGAGGGCCGGGGGCGGGGCCTGGTCGGCCGACGGAGCCCCAGAACACGTCGGAGAAATTCAGGCCGCAGGGTTGGGTGTAGCCCGCTTGCCACCCCACAACCAGCCTGCCCACCGGGGAAGGCCCTGCTGCCCGTGGTGCCCGACCAGGCCCTCAGCCTTGGGTCTCTAGTCTCAGACATTCCAATGCCTAACGTTGGGCTCGGCCTGTGTCTTTCCTACTATTTCCCGGGGTCTCCTTTGGCCAGTCCTTGGAGTTCCTGTCCAGGGTTTCTCCAGCTGAGTGTCAAGCCTGCAGCCTTCCTGCTTCTCAGGAGCTTCATTGATCCTGGGCTAAGGCACTAGGCCGTTAAGGCCTCAATTTCCAAGGTCTTTCTTCCTAGGACCTTGTAGGCTTCTTGCAGCACTTGCTTGGGATGGAGGAGGGAGGCAAGTAGCCTCTCCCAGGTCTTACAATTTCAGGACCTCAGCCCCTGGGTTGTGGAGAAACCTAGCTGGTAGTCCACTTGATCCCAGTTTCCAGAAGAGTGGGCTCTAGCAGGAAGGGACTGGATCCAGGAAGGAGCTTGAGGCTGAGAGTACAGGGGGTGAGTATGTATATGGTGCTGTGTCCTTGGTGTTCCCCCACTCCCCAGGCCTGCAGCTAGGGCCTTATGGACCATGTAGGGAAAGATCAGCTATCATCAGGGCATTCCTTAGGCCCTGAGTGGCCATTCAGGGCTGTGACAATGACCTGTCATCCAGGGACTATAACTGAGGGGACCCAGGACAAGGTCCAGGGAAGTGTACTGTACAGGGACCAACTCTGCTCTAGGCTCCTTTCTCTCTTCCCTGATCAGGGCCAATCCTTATGTCCAGGACCGAAGAAGGCATTGCCCCTGATGGAGGAGAGATCTTGGCTGTGGGCAGGTGAGAGGGTCATTGGTGGGTGCAGGCCATGGTAATGATGCAGGAGATAAGACCCCTTTGGAAGCCTGTGCCTAGAGGGGCCCTAGGGCCTGTAGACTGTGAGTGGGTCTCTATGTGGGGACATGAAGATGTGTCTCCTGCATGTGATGTGCATTATCAGCGTGCATAGTGCCCTAAAATGTGGGGTGCTCAAAGTTGTGTCCTGTGCACCTAAGGGAGCCTTCCCAGTGTACAGCACACCAGAGGCCAACATAGAAAAGGAAGAAAGGAAGAAGTGAAAGTGAAAAGCTCTGAAACTCTAGGTCAGGCCCTTAGGACGCTGTGCTGAGGTCCTCAGAACTCCCCCATGAAGATGGAGAATGGGAGCAATTCTCCCAGCCTGCCCTCCATTAACCCCTCAGTGCTGTAGCAGGACTTGATGGGCAAGTGGGGTGGACAAACGCTCCAGGACAAAGACGCAAACAAAATGGTGGAGACCCTGGCGACCAGAGGAGCGTTGGGAAGAGGGGCCTCATTCAGTCAGCTCGGTTGGTGGCCCATCCACCCCACCCGCCGCGGATACTCACCGGCTTGATCCTGAAACCCCCAACCACGTAACTCAAAGCCAAGACCATTAGGGGGCCTTACCTTGGCTGAAGGGACCTAAGGGAGCCCATAGCCCTAGAAGCGCGAGGTCGTCCTAATTTCCAGACCGCGGCTGAGCCGCAGCCTCCGCTGTCCGTGGGGCAGAGCTCCTCTGACCCTCCCTCCCTCCCTCGTGTACCACACCGCCCTCTCGCTCTGCGCTCCGCCACGCCACGAACAGCCGCCCCCAGGCAACCCTCCGGAGCACATCTCTGCCCGCCACCGCCACTGCCTCACTCCGGTGCCGCCCGCAGTCCTGAGGGGGCGCGCCCACCCTGTGGCCCTACGCCGCGCACACTCTGGTGTGAAATATTCCTTCCCTCACCTGGACCCGCTGAGGCTCCCTTCCGTCTCGCTCCCCCTGCCGGCCGCGCCTCTGTTACCGTAAGTTTGGAGGCCTGTCTGGGAGCGGGCCCTGGGCGGACTGAGAGTCCCAAGCGCGGCCGGGGGTCTTGAACTGCTCAGGGTATGAATCCTTAGGGACTTGTGCTCGGCTACTCGGCCGCTTCCTCCATGTGTCACACAAAGTGAGGATGAGACCCGCATTTCTCCAAGCAGGAGGCGGCGAAGTGGGGGCCCTGATGAGGCCATTTTACAGGCCCTAAAACCGAGGCGTGTTTTGAGACTGGTATCCGGCAGATAAGGGGTGGGGACCAGATGCTTGATGAGTGCGGGAGGCTGGACGGGTGGAATGGGGCTGAAGACACGGGGCAGACTTTGCCTTGCCCTCTAGGCCCTGGGGCAGAGCCCCACGTGAGCGATTGGTTGCACCCCAGTCCTGCCTTTGGAGTCCGATGTGCCCTCGACTCACTCACCCCTTGGCCCGGCATCTTCAGAGAAGTTGAAAGTTGAAGCAAGCCTAATTTCCGAAGTTTTCTCCCCAGTGCGCAGAAGGCGGCCCCTAGAGAATCTTGGCTGCTCTGCTGCCTACGCAGCTCCGCCTCCCCAGGGCACACGTGGCTCCCCCAGGGGAGCCGTCAGACAGGCGCCCTCACGCCCACCAACCCCACTCCTCACTTCGCCTTCTTTATAAAGACACAGCGCCGCGCCCTCCGCTCAGACTTCACTCAGCCAGCCCTGGAAGGACTTGCGAACCCTCGAAACCTCGTATGTGTTTGGAGGGCTCACAGCCCACCTATCTTTGAGCTCAGGGGCTCCTGGGACTAGGTGCGCAGGACCAGCGGCCCCTGCGTTGGCCCCAGGATGTTTGGAGCAAATAAGCACACAGATGGGGTCAAAAGGGCCACAGTTTTCTAGCACTGGGAATGGCACTCGAGTGCCGCGTGGTGAGGGGGAGAAGGAGGCTCTGTACCCGCTAGGGAACAGAGGGAAGCCCCGAGAGGGACTGGGCTTT